CAGTGTAACATTTATGTTTTCTTCACTATTCCGTCTGTTAAGATAATGTTTTACTAGAAGCCAGTGTCAAACTAGTGATTTTTGTTTACATCTTTGCTCATGCAGTCATCCAGATGATATTTCTCAATTACTTTTCGGAAAACAAATGACTACGTCACACTATAAGACTCAAATTTTTATTTACTCCTGAACGCATTTCTAATAAGTGACATACGTATGTTCACAACTTTCATTAAAATGTTTAACTTGATAGGGAAGGCTTTTGTGTTGCAGAAAGATATAACAAAAGTAATCTTTATATCCTTCCTAGAAAAAGAGTTTCTAGATATAGAACATTATATTGCTTCCTTTACATTTTTGCTACATTTTGCAACGTCTCTCTTGAATGCGAATGTCTAGGAAAGCAAACATCTTATTATCAAGAAGAAAATTAAACGTGATGCCACTTTTTAATATCTCACCAAAAACAACAACAACAACAACATCAACAAACAAACAATCAAACAACAACAAAAATACTCATAAAGGTTTTATTGATAACTTTGGCCAACTGGAATTGTGAAAAAAAATAACATGACAACATAATCAAGTGGAACTATGGCAATGTTGTAAACATGTATACATAAAGAAAATAAAAATTATAGAACATTCCTTTACATTTTGTCTACATTTTGCAACGTCTATTTTAAATGCGAATGTTTAGGAAAGCAAACAGCTTATTATCAAGAAGACAAGAAACGTGATGCCATTTTTAAGATAGTCACAAAAAAAAATAAAAAATAGAATGGACAAATGAGATCATTTATAAAAAAATATGGATATAATAACGGCGTCGATAATAAAAATTTCCATGTGCGTTATTTCAATAAGACGCGGCGTTTACGTATTAAAAAAACAACAGTTGAGATAGTTGTTCCGAAACAGAGTTTCAGAAATACTAAATTAAAGGCCTTCTCGTTGTAAGAAAAAGAAGGACAGCGATTAACGTAATTATTAAACATATCATTAAAAGATAATCATTTAAGAAAACATAAAATAACTTTTGCAAAATGACTACAAATGAATGTGTATCGCTGTTGTTTCTTCTGAGCTTAAGCAAATATGCTATATTAAAATTATTTTTTCTTAGATTTCAAGGAAGCATGTGGCAAGAACATGTTAAACAATAGCGCCTACATCATTATGTTTAAAGTTGTTTCGTACCACAAATCGAACAGATTATAAACATGTTCGCTGGCGGAAATAATTATTTTGGATCTTATATTTTTAACTGTCAGCTTTTTTTATTGATTCATTGAGCTGTAAAATGTATTTGTACGCTTTCTGTTTTTGGCACTTTTTAGATTTATGCATCAGAAAAACATCAAATCATTGCATGTTTTTGTTGTTTCCTTACTAATAAATTGAATGATTTCAACATATTTCAAACGGATGCAATTATTAACTCGGGTAACTAATAAACCAGACAGAACTATTTTGCATATAGTCAAGGCGCCTGTGTCTATTTTAGATGCTTATTGTTTTTGTCAAATGAATTAATTATTTATAAAAGATTGTGATTTCATTGTAGAAATTGAAAATTTCTTTTACAGATAAAACCTAATAAAATTCAGTACTTTTTCTCGTTTAAAGTAACTACATTTTGATTAAATATGAGTAATTTACGGCTAATGCAGACCAAGATCAGCCTGCACATCCGTGCCGACTAAACATGATCTGCACTGTTCGCTATTCAGTCTATCTGTGATTCATGATTTATTTTAATAAATATTTATATATCCCTAACATACATACACAAAATGTATCTGGGTTAGAAAAAAAATCATTGAAGATATTTAGCGGGAAAATATTCAAGGAGTGAGTTCTAAGAATTATCAACGAGCACAGAACTATGTATACATTTTATGTTCAAAGCAGTAACGTTGTATTATTTCTGACACGTTAATGGTGCATATGTTTGCACATAAAACAGTCGTATGAACTAATTCTTACATGGTGTGTCTAATGAAAATGTGTTTTAACGATTAAAACATGCATTAAAATGTTGTGAAGGAGCATAATATCGTAATTAATTTTGCACCTAAAACGCGTTTGTCTGAATTCATTTAATTAAAAATAACCCAGTTTATTTAAAAAATGCGTTGAAGACAAACAGATGCATATTTGAAAGGTTTAACTAGCTAAACACTGATGGTAAATATTGTCCACCTGTCAATATCAAGTCATAATCAGCAAAACTGTGAGTTATGTCCAGAAGTGAAACTCAAAATATTTTCTGAAAGTAGAACTAATCTCGCAAGTATTTATTTTCTACTTTACTATAGCATGCGCCTCACACTTGTACATAACATAAATATGTTATTTTCGATCAGTATTTTAAAAAGACATAACAATTCTATGCTAAAAATGAAAACAAAAACAAAACAAAACAAAAAGACAACAATGATCTCCATAATGGAAATTAATAGTATTACAGATAGATTACAAAGAAGTGGGCGAAATTTGATAATTAGTAGAATTTTGAAAATGTACAAAACAAAAGATTGTAATAACCACAAAACAACAGATTGTAATAACCTACAATTGTATATCTGTTATATTCGATACTTTATTGAAACTTTTAAACTAAAAATAGTAAAAATTATTAGGAAATAGTTTTTGTTTTGCTTCACGTAATGTTGGTCGGTACACGCATGCATATTCCAATGCGCTTATTTACACTTATAAAATCTGATACTGATGAAGACTAAAATATTGATTAAATTGTGATTTTAAAAGACATTTAAAAACATATATGCATAGACAATAGTTAATATAATTACACCTTTTTGTTCGCTTGAGTATGTCTTTATAAAACTTCATAAAGTTGTCTGTATATCTTACGAAATCATGATATGCTATTAAAAAGTCAAGGCATAAATGTACTGAATTCAAATGTATCAGTGTAAAAATCATATTATATTATATGATATCATATAAGCCTTAAACTACTCTCTTATCTCATTTTATTGATACATTTCAGTACAAAACAATTATGTGAAGAGGTTTCACTTGTAATAAATTTTTATTGAGACATCACTTACAAAATGAAAACTTGAAAACTAAAAGAAAACAACTTCTATATTTTTCATCTAACATAATATTGATAGCCTTTCATTATTTCAGTAGATAAACGTTTTTATTGCCTTCACATGGGAGAGCATAAATGACGATTAGTATTCCACTTATTGCGATTAAAAGATTGTATTATATTAACTACAGGGCTAATTTTGAGAGGAACTTATCACAAATGATATTGTTCAAACATATATATCAGTTGTGCTCATTTAAATTCAGACATTATCAGAATCTAAAGACAGTGAATCTTACAGAAATTCAACAACTGCTTCATGACAAACACTTAATTTTCTTCTGTCTGTCCTATTAAATAAAATACATAAAGAAATAAGTGTGATAAATTAACTTTGGGGCTCCGTACTTAACTGACGTTGTGTGTGTGTTTTTTAACAAATATCCTAATATTCTGGCAAATACTTACATCGACTCAAGTTTTCGTTGACAAAAACAGAAAGAAAAGAAAATTACTGAGTTCCTGTGTCAATTATGAAATGCGATACAACATAAAGATTTCGCAACAGAACATGCAGATTCGTCTTTTGTTAGAATTTAAGAAGACATGACCTAGCAAGCATGACCATATCGGGCCGACATATGATTAATGTCGGCATGTCGGCAAGTTATGCCGACCTTTGGTCGATGTCGAGCCGTTGCAGTGCGGACATATTGACTATTTTGATAAATTCTAAATGCAATGGCATTGTTAACTTAATAATGTAAATAAATTGTCCGATATATGATTCCAATTACTAGAACCACACTATCCACATTTCGTGTTACATCAAAAGCGATAAATCGTGTCTGCGTCGCGCCAATATGATCTATCAGTGTATTATTTTGTTTATCGGATTGACATCGGTATGATATTGCGATTTCTGTTGAATTGATTATCATGCAGCAAATGAATTTCTAAAATAATTATAGTTGAGTTTTGAACCGATATGTGGTTTGTAATTAAATTCAATATTTATGTTTTGGACTACATAAAAATCACTCTTTTATATTTTAAATGAACAACTTGCAAATATTCTCTGCAGTCCAACAATTAACAGATTAAGCGCCAAACAAAGCTAACAGAAAGGCATGCTTTTTTTAAAAAAATGTAATTTTGATTCAAAAAATGTATAAACACTGTTAATAATTTGATTTTAACGCTTTAAGTGATTGGAAAAAATACAATTTATTTGTATGTCTCTTTTTTAAATGTAGAATTATGTTTGAAAATATTTGTCACATGATTTCGCGACATGTATTATCAAAGTAGTGATAGTCATTTGCACATCAAACTCAAATGTTCGCCTTTATTATCTTATTTTGTAAAATAATTGGTTCTTTTTTGTTATTGCAGGTTATGCCAAATGCTTGTTGCTAGATGTCATCAACATGCTAGCATAAGGATCATTGATGTAGGGCCGATTTCTTTCTACTGTTGGCTGACATCGCACCGCTATTGTTTTGATGTAGGCCCGATGTAGGCAAGAAATATCATGAATATTATGTTCGTATATGTCCAACACTGAATTTAATGAACTTGAAAAAATAAAACAACAACAAAAAAACTCAAAACCCCAAAAATCATCAATATAATTTGACCGCCGCCATGAGAAAAGGGGCACTCGGGCAATTTTGACGCACCGTGAAAAAGTCCGGGAATAGTACGACCGCTTCGTTATTTCCGTAAACATTACAACAGGTTGCTAAATGGTGATTTAAGTCGTGATTTTTAAACCTAGAGGGTATTTTACCATCAGAAATGGATGAATTTGAGGTAATATATATATTACATGCAGTTATTGTTACAAATAAATTTATATAATGAAGAAAACTTGCTTTTAAACCACTCGTCTGCCGTGCGCAGAGAATTTTTTTTAACATCATAAAAGATTGTATTTAAAACAAAAATCAATGTATTTAAAACGAGCAAATCAATTGATTTGTACGGATATAAACTTCAGTTATTTTTTTATGCTCCTAGAAGCCTTTATTGATCGATCTTTGAAAATTATGTTATTGACAGTTGTTTGTTGTCATACTGCTAAGCAACTAGGTAGTCTCCCTTGTTATCGATTTTTTTGGGTGAGTTCAAGATACACTAGAAAATTTACACAATTTTCTGAATGTTGATGTGGTGGCCGTGGGGTTAAGCTCCTTGCGTAGCATGCTCGCGGTCAGGGTTCAATCCTCGGCCGGGAAGTATTTTTTTTTTTTATTGCTTATTTTTTTTTTTTTTACTTTCAGGAGCTGGATGGGTTGTTTCAGGAATTTGGCGTTGCTTCAGAAATTATGTCACAAAGCGATGATCATGAGGCGATCGGAAATCTTAGTCAGGAGTGGGACAGTGAAGAAGAAGAAGAAGATTTAGAAAATGCGTTAGAAAATGTAGAAAATAGTATTTCGTCAAGAGTCCATGACTATATGAGCAACACACACTCTTGTTATTCTGAACAATCAGGGTCAGAGCTTGACGACAATAACACCAATGATAACGATACATCTAACTGTGAGAATATAAAACTGTGTAAATGCAAATCTAACTGCATGGATAGCTTTGAAGAAGACACAATTAATAACCATATATTGTCACTTAGAGAAATGGACAGGGGTGAGAAGGAAATGTTCATTATGGGAAGCCTTCAACAAGTAAGTGCTGATGAAACTTTGAAAGGTAAACGTAGAAAAAGGACAAGATTTAGGTACGTGTTTCAGGGAAAAAAGGTGTGCAAGGACGTGTTTTTATATATAAACGATATAGGAAAGAAATCGTTGAGGAACATCGTTGACCATTTTAGTATGAATGGGGCAGTACCACGTACCCATGGCAACACCGGACGAAGACCGCATCATGCTCTTGGATACAATGAGATCAGGTTTTGTGTTGACTGGTTGATATGGTATGCCGACATACATGGTTTACCCATGCCTGCAGCTCCGAGAGGACATGACGGAGAAGCTCCTATATTGCTGCCATCTAATCTCACAAAATGTAGTCTGCACACATTATATTCTCAAGCCTGTATAGAGTCTCAGGTTAGAAAGATTGGATTGTCATCGTTTAAGAACGTTTGGAGTAATGTTGTGCCGCACATAAGAATAATGACTCCAAAAGATGATGTTTGTCATAAGTGTGAACTTTTACGCCACAAGGTTGTAGATGCTGTGACAGAGGCGGCAAAATTAGATGCAGCAAATCATCTCCGTGAACACGTGCAGGTAAATTAATTGATTTATTTTTTTAAGTTGCTTAACGATGAACTTCATAATAAATGACAACATCCGTTGCTTTTATAATTTATGTTTCTTGATGTTGAAAGAAAAAAATATAAAACATACGTCACAAAATTTGATTAATGTTTATGCACTATATTTACAGGATGCAAAGGCTGAACGAGAAGTATATCAGACAGCAGTTGTCCAGGCAAGAGAAGAAATGTCAACTCACAGACGACATGACAGACCAGTAACTCCAGTATCCGCAGATTTAAACAAAGTACGTTGCTATAATAGTTACATTCGATCGCTTCTTATTATGAATCTTACTTTTTAAAATAAATCACTAATCTTGTATTTAACTATAACTATGTATACTTTATTTGTAGCTTATGTCATGATAAAATATAATCAAATACCACAAATGAACTATCAAATTGCTACAGTATGAATGATAGATGAAGTAATGAAAGAGAATAAAGAAGGAAATAAATGCTGATAAAATTAAATTTGATAAATAAAATCGTTATGTTTGATAGCACATTCATCTAATCCAGGATTAGTTTAATCCATATTTTTTCATGTACGAATTTCATTTTTTTTCCATTGAAATTTGAACCATGACTTTATTATTCAGCAACACATGACGTTTCTGTATATTTAAATTTGTAAAATGATGACTGTCAATACATCATACGAGTACATTATGTAATACAAATAGCACTACAAATTTTCGTTGTTTTAGGTGCTCTTTACGTTTGACTACAGCCAGTGCGTTACAATACCACATCATAGCCGGCAAATGGGTCCAATATATTTTGTGACCGGTAGAAAAATAAACATGTTCGGAATACGGGTAGATTCTACAGGAGAACAGTTTAACTACTTGATTGACGAGGATCAGTCAATAGGTATTTGCATTACTTTATGCATTATAAATTCATTATACAGTATTCTGTATGTATTTCTTTTAACAATTATTTTGTACGCAATTTCTATCTTACCTGTTAAAACAATATTTTCATATATACTGCACAGGTTTAGATGGTGGCGGAACTCACGGTCCAAACTCAGTGATTAGTATGCTTCACCACAGTCTCTCTAACTATGGATTTGGAGAAAAAGGTCTTTATCTACATGCTGATAATTGTGGAGGTATGTTATTGAGTAAAGTATCGTTTTATACCGTATGAGCTTTGTATCATTTTTTTGTAATAACACCGCGAATATTCCTCATTCTAAATCAGTGTAATAGTAGTATTAACAAAGACTTGATTTAAAACCTGATCTTAAAAAAAAGCTTTTTATATTTCTATTTACAGCTCAAAACAAAAATAGATTCACGCTGGCATACCTGAGTTGGAGAATAAATATGGGATTGCATGAAAATATAACATTACTTATGGCTATCCCTGGACATACAAAGTAAGTTTCATGTTTTTTTACTTAATTGAATTAATGGTAAAGCGTCCCTTCATTCCATTGCAGAAAAATTCATGAGATGATATCTTATTAAAAAAAACATTTATTCACGCTCATAAAGGATTAGTTTTATCAAAATATGAACAATTCAATTCCTTCGAATAAAGGACAAGTATGAATACTTTAATTGATGCACATGAAAAACAGAGTCGAAATTTAGTTAAAATACATTTTCTCAAGTATTGAGATACAAACTTGAAACTATTATTTTTCGTATTGAAGATGATAATGATTATATCAAAAGTAAAGTATTTGCATATGTAATGAAGTGTACGATCCTATGCCACGTACATGAATTTTCAAGCAAGAAATTGATTTTTGCTTGAAACTGGCTAACTTGGTGCATTTTATAAAAAAAGTAAAAACGAATTTTCACAATGTTCACTAAACAACTACATATGTATTGCCATTATACGGAGAAATGAATATAAAAGTAGAGAATACTTCCTATTTTACTTATTTTATTATACGGAGAAAATATAAAATTATATACTGTACATTTATTTTAGATGTCTTGTTGATGGAGGGTTCGGGCGGATTAAGAAGTTATTTAAAAGATCGGATTGTGAGAGTTTGAGCCAGTTTGCGGACATCGTGGAGAAATCGGCGAAAGACAATTTCGCTGTCCTGTACCGAAATGCAAATGGCGATCAATCATGGACTTGGTAAATTGTCCTTTTTATATTGACAAAAATTTTATTAACTCTATTCTTAAATCTGTCTCCTAATATGAGAATCGGTGTATTTGTAAGTTACGCTCTTTAATTAAGGCCATATAATACATCGATAAGATTTACTGACGTAATGATGATTCCTGCTATTCACGATATTAAAGTATGCGTTTAAAGTAATAGAAATTTGGTAAAATATTGAAAAGATAAAATAGAGCACAGTTTTGCATTAAATACTGATATTTGAACGTTGAATTTCTTATTTGGTTTTACTTTTAACAATGTCGCATATAATCTTCAATTTGAGTAGGCTTAATGATCAGGCTGGACGTATTAAGCTAAATGATTATTGTAGTGCTGATTCGCGCTACATATTTTATTTCTTAATAAATCATTTTAGTCGTTTATTTTTTATAATAGGTATGACTGGAAATCGTATCTGACGAGATATTTTCTGCAGCTGAAAGGAATTCAAAAGTACCACAGCTTCAGATTTACAGCCGGAGACAAAACTGCGATATTTGTCAAAGAAAGGTCAAATAGTGACGAAATCCGCGTTCCATTGATGAGGAGAAACATTGTTCTGCCAGAAGGATCATTTCCCGATTCTATCCAGCCAGCTGGTTTAAGTCGTCAACGACGAGAATACCTTTACCGGCACGTTAGGAAATACGTGCGTCCTGCGTACCAAGATGAGACTTGTCCTCGACTTGCTGAGGAATGAACGTTGTGATATTAAAATTAAGTTAATCTGAACTGAAAAAGGAACAGTTGATTGTTTTGTTTCAGCGTGCATTATAACAAACAATAAAATAGTGTTTGTTTAAAACACACATTTTTCTCTTTAACTGTAGCCCGTTGTCACTTTTTATTACTAAGACTCGTTGGAATTACGTTTGACGTCACGCAAATTTGATGATGATGTCGCAAATTTAGTTAAGGTGTGTTTAGTTAAATCGCTGTATCTTACTTAAAAAATCGAATATCGACATAAAATAAAAAGATTTACCCAGACAAATAAAATTTCTACAAGATTATAATAAAAAATAAAAATCGTCAAAAATTGCCCGAGTGCCCCTTTTCTCGTGGCGGCGGCCATTTTATTCCACTCGTTCATTAAATTATGTGTTTAATCTACACTCGATCAATATCCTCTAATAATTTGGTGCAGTATATTTTAAGATAAATCAAAATACCAACAAATATAATATTATCGTAGATGTTTTTAGAAACAAAACATTGCTATTTGATTTATTTATTAAGCACCATTGAAGAGTATTTTCAAGTTTACAATTACATTAATATGTTATGCTACAACTGTGGTAAATCTTCTCAACATATCAGACAGGAAAGTTCTATATAAACAGTCACATACCGCTTAAAAAGACTTGCAAAAGTCGCCTTCTAGCTAGTTGGATTGTTTGTGCATTAATGATTATATTGATATATAGTTATAACATCCTGCGTCTTGCATTTCATTTCTTAAATGATAGGCATACCGTAATTCAAACTATAATTATAGATAACATACGATAGAATAATTATTATACTGCGAGCCTACAAGATAAAATATACATTGTACCTATAAACGCTCTTAAAAACTAAAACAAAAATACAGAAATACAGAAGCAATTGTTAGCCATAACTATTAATCTGTAAGGGATGAATGCATCTGCAGATTCGGGCATTCGGTTCAGATGCCTGCGATCATCTTTTGCTGTCATACTTTAAAAAGCACCACCGAGGTCCACAAATCTTAAAAATGCAATTTGAAATTCTCACAGAGAACGGCTGGTGCACTTAAACCGGTAAAATATGCAATATGTAATAAAGAAATATACTTCCAAGTAAATTGAAATACAGTTTTTTGTGCGCTTAATGGCCTATTTTGAGCAAAATGTGTATACAAATTGTATATTATCAGGTCATTTTGAAAATTAAAATGATTATTTTGGAATAATCAGATTGAGCGAATGATATGAAACACAAATCTTAAACAAACAATAAATTTTTCTTATGTCATAAACGAAGAAGAAATAAAAACCTTAGTATCGTTCACTTCAGTTAAGCAAAATTATAAAATTATACAATTTAAAATTTGAATTTATCAGAGAATCAGATTACACTTATTCACTTTGTACACGTTATTGAATTAGGGGCAAAAGAGACAATTTTGGATTTGGAATGGGTCCTGTATCGGCTCCTGGTGATAGGGTGTTAATGCCATGTAATTCTATATGTTTAAAGTAGTCTTCATACAATCGTGTGTAAATGTTTACGTTAGAAATGCCGGCTAAAGCTATTTCAATGCATTCGAGAAATGTTTGGATTATAATGTTTGCCCCTTGCTAATACTGGAGTATCATTTTAACAAATTTAACTGAGGTGTAAACATTTTAATCATTTTTGTAATCCCTTACATAAGTAAAATACTGAAACTGAACGTGTTTTGTTTAGGCTAGTTTGTTTCTAGAGATAAATAAATCATTCTAGTTTAAATGCATGTGAAACACTTTTCTCAAAGTACTTGTCATGAAAATGCGCAATTTCCATTAGCTTGATTGAATTTTGTTGTTCAAGTAACAGGATCTCGTAAATGATGTAACGAATGCAAAGAATCTGGTTAAAGCAAAACAGATACAGTATTTAGAATAAATTTTTATATAAATGTTTCAGTCTAGAAATGTTTTCCAACATTAAAGTCTGAAGATTATGGAGTTTAAAATTGATGGCAGCTAAGCTAATGTATTCACAAGTACTAGTCGCACGTCATGCCACAGACCTACAAGTCATGACGTTGTTTAAAAAAAATGATACAGATGTTTATACCGAACGAGGTTCAGTCATGGAAATGATAGATCCCTTTGGGGATCCGTACTTTCAGTGCCTGAGGTGGACCATAATAGTGCTCAGGGGTCCCCGAAAGTAATGAAAACAAAACACTTATTTCATAGCAATATATGACATCTCGCGCATGCGCGTTCTGCGATAAGTATATATGCATGTAGAATGGTAAATATACAAGGATGACAGGCTACACATGCAATGCATTTATTGCGCATTTCGTAATTTTAGGCAATACATTAATTATTACAAGGAATCTTTAATTATAAAATGTATGTATTTTACATCTATAAAAGGAAAGTGGCAAGAAAATTAATTGAAATCTAAAAAGTAATTTTGTATGCCAAATTCGCAATAGTTTTCAAAACATTACACAATTGCTAACAATTTAACCCAGCGCATCTGCTGCCATAACTATGCACGTGATTGTTTTTGCATTTTATCAAGAAAATAGTTTCTAAATACAGAAACACATTTTTGTAAAAAAAAAAATTAAAAAAGAATATAGGTGTGTTGCCGTCATTTATTTCTCTAGAACCTGTCTTTTCCACTCCTAACTTACAAGGCGTTATAATTACTTCCTCATCATAAAACAATCAAATGTTTCTCAGCTGTAATTGCTTTACTAAATACGCTCTTAGGGAAGATTAAGGTGTCTGTTGTACAGAATTTTCAATGCCAAGAATATGCAACCCTCAGTTGTATTCATCCCAGCCACTTCGATAGTACACTGTGAGTATCCTATTTTGCGTTTTACGTCAGAATGGAATCGGGGAAAATTCAACAACAACAAAAACAAAACAAAAACAACTTGATATGGGATTTTGAAATGAATAATAATAATAATAATGTTAAAAAAGAAATAATAAATGATAAAAAATATATATATCCAATACAGACAAGAATAAACCACGCATCCGTGTCGTTAAATCATGACCTGCACTGCTCGCTATATAGTCAGTTTCCAAATTGTTCCTAAAATGCTCAGTTTGAAAAATGGATAAGCGCATTTAAGATATTAAGCCTTTTACGATCAAGCAGGGATAAACAGTGGCTGCAATTCTCATATCTCAACTATTACTGGCAAGCCCTCAGCCACAAGGGGTAAATACACTATTGTGTTGGGTACAAATTTTCTAGTCAGGTGGTCATTTAGTTTCAAATTGATAAAGAACAAGATAATTTGCAATCTTGTAAATGTTTTTGTTTTATTCCCCTTTTGGGACCTTTATGATGACATTGTATTTAAAGTTGTTTTAATAAAAATTCGAAACGACATTCGGTTGACTAAGAATAGAGTATATATCGAGAGTCATGCCAAAAGTTTTGTCAGTAATAAATTGGCTTCCAGAATCCATCAAAAACATTTAAAAATGTTTCAGTGCATTTGAACATTGTATCCAAAATTAAACGATATCTGCTTATTCCCTGCAAGTTTCAATTGTTGAAAATTTATTTCAAATTAAAATACATGCAGTCATAAAACTGACCAAAATATGGCTGAAAATAATTCACATTCTGAGCGACATGAAATGGCGCACTAAGATGTATGATGTTTGATTTTAATGCGCACACGGTTCAGTTTAAAACTACCGAACGAAGATGATAACTAAAACAAACTTCACTGTCGTAAAAGTTGTGGTCGATCAGAATGCGCAATTGCCGTCTTGTATGATTTCTGACAATTGTGTAAACCTATTCACCCTTTTCACCTATAAATCGAGTCATTGGGAATTCTTTTTATTTTCACGGCTTAGGAAATGAGTTTCGGAAAGGAATTTATGCCCAGATGTTTCATTTGCAGTGCTGTTTATAAATGCCTCAAAACGATTATAAATATGTATTCGGACAAGGTAACAAGGGAATACTCTTAATATTGATAAAACGAAGCGTTTAAAATGTCAATGGCAGAATTATTTGTAGGACCATCGTAATCTATCGGATTTTGCATCAAGAATTTCTGAATAACATGGGAAATATAAATTCCCACATAACAATCAGTTTGCAGTGTTTTTTTACATTTAGTGTTTCATAATGTCTGGTACATAGTTATTTATTGAGATTACAATATCTATGCACAAGCCATTTGATTGTGTTTTCTGTTATGATATAAACAGATCCTTGATCGTTTTTTTTGTTGTTAATGTTTGTAAAAACTTGACACTAAGTTGATTTATGCATCAGAAACATTTTAGATGAATGATGGCCTTTTTGTATTTTCTATGTAATAAATTGAGTACTTTCAACATTATTTTACAAGGATGTATCCTCTATGAATGCATTAATGAATTAGGATAGCAAAACTTTCCTACAATAATGCAGAGAACGTGAGTGTGCGTGCGTGCATGCGCATGTGTGCGTGTGTTTTTATAATGCTTAGCAGTTCATACAATCATTTCTTCTGCCTGAAGTTGACAAAATGTTTGCTTTTGTTTTCACCAGATTATTTTATTTTAATTTCATGTCCGTTGGGACATTCAAATACAAGATTGTTATTTTGAATACAAATTAACTCTATTCTAGAGGCCGTCAGAGATGAAAAGTCTTATCATTCGGTAGTCGTGAATTAACGATACAAGCCAAATATTATATTTTGTATAATGATAAATAATTCGTGATTTCATCACCGATGTGTAAATCAACAAACTATAAATTTTACTGTTAATCACTTTTCAAGCAACATAAATATTACCTAGCATCACGAGCAAAGCTGTTCATTCATAGTTTGTGTAAAATTTATGTTTTCTTCAATATTCCGTCTATAAAGATAATGTTTTACTAGAAGCCAGTGTCGAACTAGAGATTTTTGTTTACATTATTGTTTATGCAGTCATCTAAATGATATTTCTCAATAAAATGACTACGTCACATTTTAAGACTCAAATTGTTATTTACTCCTGAACGTATTTCTAATCGTAATATGTGACATACGTATGTCCACAACCTTCATTAAAATATGTTCAACTTGATAGGGAAGGCTTTTGAATTG